ATCCATTTATTTTTTTTAATTTTTGCCTAGGGGGTAACGCTGCAGAGTCCCTTCTGCTGCGCGCTCATTGTTACAGGCTGCTGGGTCAGAAAAAAACAGCCATATTTGATTTTAAGGCTGTCTTAAAAGAAGATCCGAGGAACACCCGGGCTCTTTGTGGAAAAGCGTTCATTCACCTGGCCCTGCATCAGAAGAAGGTGGAAATTGCATTTAATTGTTTTGATTGACGTTTTTGAATGTCACAGGACAATTGAAGGGTAGGAAATATTCATCATAATGGTAGAGAATGCAGAGGAAGGAAGGAAGGAAGGAAGGAAGGAAGGAAGGAAGGAAGGAAGGAAGGAAGGAAGGAAGGAAGGAAGGAAGGAAGGAAGGAAGAAGGATAGGAGGATATGGAGAAGGAAAGGACATGGAGAGGGGAAGGAAGGAAGGAAGGAAGGAAGGAGAGAGAGGAAGGGAGGGAGGGAAGGAAGGAAGGAAGGAGGGAGGGAGGGAGGAAAGGAAGGAAGGAAAGAAAGAAAAAAAGCAGGGAAGGAGGAAGGGAAGGAAGGAAGGAAGGAAGGACAGTAGTCAGACCCAGCTGATAAAGGGATGATGAACGGAGAGAAAATACATCGGTGAATTAGAATTACTGCAGCTTCTCAACTCATTGCAATAACGTTCAGCGAAGCCCGAATGTTGCAAGATGTCAAATTGGATCCATCACTGCTTCAATTTTTAATTGAAGCTGGACAAACGCAGTCCTGTTCCGTGCTCCTTGCTTCCTTAGATCTTCCCCAAAGGAAGGACTTCAATGCCTTAGACCATGTCTCCACTCTCCTCCGCAGGAGTCAACGCAAGATCTGATCTCAGCTCTCCAAGGGGATCCAGCCTCAGCTGTGGCCGAAATCTGCTCTCTAAAGCCGGACGCTCGAGTCCAAATTCGCTCTTGGCTGCTGGAGTACTGCAGGGATGCGTTGATGGACCTTGGCCGTAGCCAAGTCCCCCTTGCGGCAGAAACCTTGAAGGACCTCTCCAAAGTGGGAGAATCCTTGGTGGAAATGGACAACCAGGACAACGAAAGTCACATCCTTTGTGTTGACCTCCAAATCGCAAGGGGTAGGAGAGATCAGGAATAACGTCCAGGAGAACAGGTCCCCAAATCGGGGAGCAGGAAGGACAGGTGCCCCAAAGGTGCTTTTTTTCAGGAGGCAACTGGACCTTCTTCTTTTTCTTTGAAGACGTTTCTCTTCTCATCCAAGAAGCTTCTTCAGCTCTGACTGGATGGTTGGGAGTGGAAGGATCTGAAGTCAGAGCTGAAGAAGCTTCTTGGTTGAGGAGCAAAACATCTCCAAAGAAAAACAAGAACTTCCAGTGGCCTCCTGAAAAAAAAGCACCTTTGGGACCACCATGGATGACTGAGAATCTCCATAGACAAAAGGACAAGTAGGTCTAGCTTGGACACCAAGCTTATTTAGATATTTCTCCTCTAGGTACCTACTACTGGAACATTAAAGTTGGGTGTCCTAGCTATGGACCAATCTTCACTCCACAGCAGTGTGGCTATTTCTAGCCTTCAGATTTGAAAACACCCCGCTTTGATGAACACCCCACATTTCTACAGCTGTTTGTCAAGTGTCGCGGTCCAGCTGAGCATCACCCATCCCTTTTGAGGGACAGGGATGATGTGGGGAGAACCCTTTTACCCGTTATATTGAGGGGGAAGAATGGAGGAAAAAACTGAGAATAACTTATTGGGTCCATCGCTAACACTCCAAGTTAAAAGAGGATTTGTCTAGTAGCTGTTGATTTTGTCTAATTTCTGTCTTGATTTTGGCTGATAGGAAGACCCAAGACTGCTCTGTCGTATCTCCAGAAGATATTTGGGCAAAGTGAACCCAACGATGCCGTCAACTCTCGGCTGGGAATTCTGCAAGCGATATTGGGAAATCTGAACGGGGTCCACATTTTAGCCACCTTGGCAGCAAAGGAACACAAGGACTTAGAGCACCTGATGGGGTTTCTAGATGCCAACCAGCGGCTAAACCTTGCTCAGGTATGTCCACCACCCACTTAAATAACACATCAAACCCAGGTTTAGAAAACACAGCCACTACGTTCTCGTCTTGTGGGACATCCAAACCAAGAAATCCTATTTATTGTTGGTTTTTTGGTTCGACCGATGTGGAAAGACAATGTAGTGAAGCCCACTTTTTATTCTAATGCACTTTGAGCATTTAAACGCTACATTTAACAAAATGACAAGAGTTGGAAGGGACCTTGGAGGTCTTCTAGTCCAACCCCCTGCTCAAGGCAGGTAATCCTACATCATTTCAGCCGATGGCTGTCCAATCTCTTATTAAAAGCCTCCAGTGGGCGGAGCACCCACAACTTCTGGTGGCAAGCTGTTCCACCGGTTAATTGTCCTCACTGTCATGAAATTTCTCCTTAGTTCTAGGCTGCTTCTCTCCTTGGTTAGTTTCCACCCGTTGCTTCTTGTCCTGCCTTCTGGTGCTTTGGAGAAGAGCTTGACTCCCTCTTCTTTGGGGCAGCCCCTGAGATACTGGAAGACTGCTATCATGTCCCCCCTCATCCTTCTCTTCATTAAACTAGACCTCCACAATTCCTGCAACTGTTCTTTGTATGTTTTAGCCTCCAGCCCTTCCATCTTTAAGGGCTGCCCTTTCAAAAGGCCCCAGGTCACCACCCTTCTGGACCATTGAGATGGCCTTCAGGTTAGAGACGAAGGTTCGGAAGACATGGACAAGGCCAGCATTTTGATTCCCAGGCAAAGCAGAGTCCGAACATCTCAGCCTCCTGAACCTTTTTGTTGGCTTGGATGTGTGACCTCACGCTAAGCCACCTAGATGTATGGTTGAGAATTAAGCCAAGGCAGAACTGGGGTAACCACCATCGTCTTTATCCCTAGGTTTCAGCCAGAGAGGCGAAGGCAATGCTGAAAGACCAGTGCCCTCTAGGAGCTGTCAAATACCTCACCTTAGCTACCTTGGCAAGCCACAATAACCCACAATATCTTCGCCAGCGGGCTGCTTGCTGGACCCAGTTGGAAGATTACCGGAGCGCCCTGGCAGATATCCAGATGGTGGTGCGAAAACACGGCACCAACACCTTGAAAACTCAAATTGGCGACTTCTGTTCCTGGGGACACCTGCTGTTGTCCACTTCGGAGGAGGAGCCGGCTGTAAAGCAATTTATTCACGCCCTACAGCTTGACCAGCCCTTGGCCCTGAGCCACGTCCTCGCCGATCACAGGTGGGAGGAGGTATCCAAAGCCTTCCTACGGACCGCCCAGACTTATTTCGCCGCTGGCCGGTACGAAGAAGCGTGGACGACTGCAAAATTTGGCCTCCTGGTTGATCAGAACAGCCCTGGCCTTCAAAAGCTAAAAGCCAGAATTAAACGGCAGGCCTCGGGTTGCGGAATTCAATAACGTATTTCTCGTTATCGGTTTAATTAAGTCTAACAGCCACATCGTTCTTGGTTTTTTTCTCTCTCTCTCTCTTTTCCTTTTGCTGGCTACAAAATTTGGTTAATTCTGCCCGGAGAAACTGAAGAGGGAGACATTGGATTGGATAACCAAGTCAAGGCACAGCTAGGCTGCCTTTTTTGGAGGAAGAATTTGACTGATTAAGCAGTTTCTTCAGCTTTTCTCCAACATGTGAAGTTGAATGCTTCAACTTCAGACTTGTCTCCTGCTTCCTCTGTCTCGCTTCCTGCTTGGACGGTTACCTGCTTTTAACTTCCTGAAAGAAAAGCGGAAACCGCTTCATCCTCGTTTACCCATCTGTGAATATCTAGGCAAGCTTTTTGTCTTCGGATGTGTTGACTTCATTTCCCTTCAGTCCTCAGCCAGCATGAGTTGGCATGGAATCAGTAAAGGACCCATCTTGCCTCAAGTCATAGAATCACAAGGCAGGAAGGGACCTTGGAGATCTTCTAGTCCACCCCTCCTCCAAGGCAGGAGACCTTATACCATGCTGGACAAGCGGCTGTCCAATCTTTTCTTGAAGGTCTCCAGCGATGGAGCACTCACATCTCCCAGAAGCAAAATGTCCTAGCTCACGGGGGTCTCCAAGCTTGGCCACTTTTGAGACTTGTGGACTTCAACTCCCAGAATTCCTCAGCCATCCATCTCCTGAGGACTCTCAGGCGAGCATCCAAAGTTCTGGAGAACTTCTGAAGACATTTGAGGTCCTTCACCTTCTGCACCTGGGACACCGTGCCTGAAAATCTGCGCTTAATTCAACACAATTAATATGATTGCTGCATGGATATAAAAAGGCACCACGTGCCCCTTTTGTTCACCCTCAAAATTACAGCCCAGTGAAAATTTTTGCCAATCAAAGCAAGTTTGGGCAAGGCCAGATACAAAGACTGCACGTTTTTCTCTTCCTCAACCTCGGCATCCAATCAGTAACTTTTTAAAAAAAAATAACAATCTTTAATTAATCCTTAAAAATTAATCGTAATCCTTAATCACAATCCTTCATCCTTACAATTCATCATAACCCTTAACAATGATTCTTAACTCTTAATCAATCCTTCATAATCCTTAATCCCTGCAGCTAGTCTGCAATTTACAGCAGTTCGTTTAGCGACGGTTTGAAGTTACAACGGCACTGAAAAAGGTGACTTACGACCGTTTTTTCACACTTACGACCGTCGGAGCATCCCCGTGGTCACCTGATTGAAATCGGCAACTGACTGGTACGTATGACGGGTTTTGCAGCGTCTCCCGGGATGACGTGATCCCCTTTTGGCAAACCTCTGACAAGCAAAGCCAAATTCACTTAACAACCGTGTAACTAACTTAACAGAAATTCACAGAAATTTAAGTCGCGATCGTAAGCCGAGGACTACGTGTCCTAATTAAGCCAAGGAACAATTACAGGAACGGGAAAGTCTTTTGAGTCCATTTACCGTGCCAAGATTTAAAAGCCTTGTTCAAGGAAGATCGGGAATCCCCTGTTTTAAATCTGTTTTGTTTATTTCTTGATTGATTAGATTTTAATCCGGTCTTTAATACCCCACCATTAACCCAAAGGCAAACCATACATAATATTCACCCTCCCTCCCATTTCTCCCACAGCAGCCCCCCATGTGGGGATTGAGGTTAAAAAGTAAATATTAAGCAGAAACAAGTTCCCAACGGAAAAAAAAAGGATTGGAGAGTAGAAGAAATTTGCCCGAAAATTTGTTATTTTTTTTAAATCAGCAATTATCCTATACAGTAGTGCAGTGTTTCTCGACTTCGGCCCCTTGAGGATAGGTGGACTTCAACTGCCAGAATTCCCCAGCCACCTAGCAGACAAATTTTGAGTTTATTTAGATATCATATTTAGAAACGGCTCCTCTCTGTCCCGGAGGAAAAAAAAAACTACGTTAGATTTGTTAGAAGGCGTTGCAAAGCATTCCAGGGACGGCTGTTTTTTTTCCAGAGTAAGTTGTGTGTCCGTGATCCACATATACACACTTCTGCAATTCCTTCTCCTTTCCACCCAAGGCTTTCTCTCCCTGTTTCTCACCGAAAAGGTGGGTTATATTTTTGCAATACCGACAGTCCTCGACTCATTTAGTTGACTGTTCAAAGTTGCAAAAGCACCAAAAAAGATTATGGCCGTTTTTCACACTGATGACCGTTGTCCCACGAACAAAAATCAGTTTTGCTTGACAACTGGCTCAAATTTATGACGGTCATCCCCTTTTGCGACCATTTAGCAACAGGGGCAAGAAAGAGTCGTACAAATGTCACTCTTAGCAATTGAAATGTTGGGCTCCGTTGTTGTAAATCGAGGACTACCTGTATTCAGATGGGCTTTCCTTTTGGAATCGTGGCGTCGGAAGGCTGGAAGGGACCTCTGAAGGTCTTCTAGTCCAACCTCCTGCATGCTCGCCAGAGACCCGGAAAAATTGTGGCACTTATTGTCTTTTTTTTTTTTTTGTAGTGTTCTTTTTCTGGGAAGATCAGTCTTGCCCTTCCTTGGGAAGAGAGCTTGGCTCACTCTTTAGATCTGCCTGTGTTTCAGCTTAGCCCAGCTTCTCTAGCTGAATCTGGAGCAGGATCCTTTCGGAAAGATCCCAACGGAGAAGGTCCAAGTGATCCATTACAAATCAGTTTCCTCGGAGTCTTTTCCCACCGTAATCGCACAAGGAGTGGCCGGCCACAGTAGCGTTGTAAACCTTGTTCGCCTCTCAAAGGTTTGCGTAACTTGGCTGTCCAAGATTTGGGCTGGTTTCCTGTACGGGGTTTACCATGCTTTCCTTCTCTGGCACGGTGTAAGGTAGTTCCTCTGCCTAAAACCAAGAGAATTTTTTTTTAAAAAAAAAATCAGTACATGATTCAGAATTTACACTCATTTATCAATGAGAATTAGATGGGGCACAATCTTCCCCAAGGTCTTTGGATCAGGGGACACAAAGAATCATGGAATTCTGGAGTTGGGGGGTGTCCCTGAAGGTCATCTAGTCCAACCCCCATTGTGCAGGAAAACTTAATTAAAACTGTCCCCATAAGGTGGCCCTCCAGCTTCTTAAAAGCCCCCAGAGATGGAAAACCCACAGAATAATAATAATAATAATAATAATAATAATAATAATAATAATAATAATAATAGTAGTAGTAGTAGTAGTAGTAGTAGTAGTAGTAGTAGTAGTAGTAGTGATGATGATGATGATGATGATGAAGAAGAAGAAGAAGTTGGAAGGGTCCTTGGAGGTCATCTAGTCCAACCCCCTTCTCAGGCAGGAAACCCTATATACCCTTTCAGATAAATGGCTTCCGTAAAATGGATTGTACCATTATTATACGGATCGTACCATCAGATGGGAGCAAAGGTTTCACAGCTGAATATTTTTTTTTACAATTTCCCCTGAAAGGATGAATAATAATAATAATAATAATAATAATAATAATAATAATAATAGTAAAGTTGGAAGGGACCTTGGAGGTCATCTAGTCCAACCCCCTGCTCAGGCAGGAAACCCTGTACCATTTCAGACAAATGGCTGTCCAGTCTCTTCTTAAAAACTTCCAGTGTTGGCGCATTCACCGCTTCTGGAGGCAGGTGGTTCCAGTGGTTAATTGTTCTCACTGTCAGGAAGTTTCTCTTTAGTTCTTTTGTGTTGCTTCCCCTCCCGTGGCTGCCATTTTGTGACAGCTCCCACGGCTTTGAGGACGGGAGAATTCGCAGGAAAGGAGACCTCAGGTTTTGTGCGTGAGAATGCTCGATTTTTTTTTCTAATTAATTGTACAGTCTCATTCTCGGAGCGTGGGAACGACGAGAAATTAAAGCGGGACCCGCAAGTTATCAAATCCAAAGGACATTGCAAGACTGAGCAGGGGGTTGGACTAGATGACCTCCAAGGTCCCTTCCAACTTTATTATCATTACTTTTTGTTAAAACAAACAAACAAACAAACAAAAAACAACTCCTGCTTACCTTTCCTTTGCCGATTGCTGCAAACCAAAAAAAAAAAGACATTTTCTTAGAAATATGCATTCTGTTTTACTAAACATTAAAAGGATAAATTAGCAAAACCCCTCCCACTCCCACTTCTCCCCAAACAGTGAAACTTTTTATGCTTAGATGGGGGAAAATACAGAATTTATGGCACGCTGGCTGAGGAATTCTGGGAGTTGAAGTCCACCAGTCATCAAAGGGCCAAGTTTGAAGACCCTTGTCTTAGATGCTAAACTAACCTTGGCATTTTCAGCCAAGGATAGAATAGAAGAGCAGAGTGGGGAAGGGACCTTGGAGGTCTTCTAGTCCAACCCCCTGCTCAGGGTGATGCTGACCTGATCATCTTTATAGTTTTACTCTGGAAGCAAAGCTAATTCATCCCCCAGCCTCTTTATTCCCCCACTTTGTGGCTTGCTTCAAAATAGAAGTTAAAAAAAAAAAGATCAACTGTTTATAGCTATTGTAATTGGCACTGATATCATTATAACTGCTGTGTTCTCACACACACACACACCCCTACCTTTCATCAGGCACTTTTTATTTTTCCACAGCGCAAAGGTTAAAACCAGGACCAGGATCACCACACTGATGACTACAGGCAAAATTATTTCAAGGTATTTTGGTTGGGGCTCACACACCACATCGGAAGTGGCATTGCCTGCGTGTTTTTCGATTAAGCCTTTGTCGCTGCAGCTGAGGAAAGACAAAAAGAAACACTGAAGGAAAGAGGAAGGAGGGGAGGGGAAGGTGGGAGGAAGGAAAGAAAGAAGGAAGGAAGGGAAGTAGGAAAGAAAAAGAAACATTGACAGAAAAAGGAAGGAGGGAAGGGAGGGAGGGAAATAGGAAAGGAAAAAAAACATTGAAGGAAAGAGGAAGGAGGGGAGGGTGGGAGGAAGGAAAGAAGGAAGGAAGGGAAATAGGAAAGAAAAAGAAACATTGAAGGAAAGAAAGGGAAAGAGAAGGAAGGAAAGAAAATAGGAAAGAAAAAGAAACATTGGAGGAAAGAAAGGGAAAGGGAAGGAAAGAAGGAAGGAAGGAAAGAAGGAAGGAAGGGAAATAGGAAAGAAAAAGAAATATTGAAGGAAAGGGAAAAGGAAGGAAGGAAGGAAGGAAGGAAGGATGGATGGATGGATGAGGGAGAAAAGAAAAAAGAATTGAAAATGCTCATAAGTATTCATTCACCAGAGAGAGATAGTTCATTGTAGACAAACTGGTGAGGACAACAGCTAAAATTTGTGCAGAATGCTGGATTAAAAACCAGGAGAAGCAGAAATTATTAGAAAAAAGGGGAAAAAAAAGAGAAGGATTTTTTAAAGGACGTGGTTTCAAAGAAGCCACATCGGGGTAAAGCAGCTGAAAGGTCCTTACTTGGTCCATTTCATGCAAGAAAATGACATTTTTTTAGCTGAAAATGTCCCCAGAGGACAGGGCTCAAATAGGACATCGTAATTTTCGGTGCCTGTAAAAATAACGAAAAAAAGATTGACAGGTTCTCAATAGGCTCAGCGCATGACGGAGCAAGACAGAAGGAGCCTGTGAGTGGTTTTCCGGCATCAGGGGAACAGTTTTACATATAAGTAGTCCTTGATTTACGACAGTTCATTCAGTGGCCGTTCAAAGTTACAACGGCCCCCAAAAAACCTGACTTAGGACCGTCGTTTCACACGTACGACGGTCGCAGCGTCCCTATGGTCACCTGATCAAAATTCACACGCTCGGCAACCGGTTCACATTTACGACGGTCGCCGTGTCCCGGGGATGTCACGTGATCCCCCTTTTTGTGGCCTTCTAACAAGCAAAGTCAATGGGTGGCTTAACAACTGCGCGACTAAATAACTGCGGCGATCCAGGTGTGACAAGAAAGGTGCGTCGTAGGGGGTCTTACCAGGTTGTGTCACCCTGAAGCCCGCAGGAACGATTGTATGCCTCATACACGCGTCGCAGGAATCTTCCCTCAGTTGGTGTATACAGAAGAAACCTGGCTGGCAGGTGCATTTTGTGTTCTTCGTGTAGTGGCACCGCTCTTTCACTTGCATGTGATTTCCTGCAAGGCAGAATGACACATGTTCTCAAATGCTGGGTCCTCTTGAGGTCCTATAGCCTGACCCCCACCAGCCTCAATCTGCTTTGGCCAGTCTAGAGAAAAGAAAGGACCAGGGGGGCAGGTGATAGCAGTCTTCCCATATTTGAGGGGCTGCCCAAAAGAAGAAGAGGGGGTCAACTTATTTTACAAAACACCAGAAGGCAAGACAAAAAAAAAATAGATGGAAACTAATCAAGGAGAGACAATTAACCTGTGGAACAGCTTCCCTCCAGAAGTTGTGGGTCCTCCATCACTGGAGGTTTTTAAGAAGAGACTGGATAGCCATTTTTCTGGAATGGTCTAGGCTAGGGTCTCCTGCCTGAGCAGGGGGTGGAATAGAAGACCTCCAAGGTCCCTCCCAGCTCTATTCAGATTGATTGATTGATTGATTGATTGATTGATTGATTGATTGATTGATTGATTGATTGATTGAAAAGGTCTAGGGTCTCCTGCCTGAGCAGGGGGTTGGACTAGAAGACCTCCAGGGTTCCTCCCAGCTCTATTCTGATTAATTGATCTATTGATTGCATTATCCTGGTGGCTAGGGTAAAAATGGGAGGAAGGTAAAAAAAAATCAGAGGGGTAACAGAAAACCCGTTTTCTAAACTTGAGCAATCCCGCCCAGAGAATCCCTCGGCTAATCTGTTTGTTAGATCGATCGGTTTGGTTCCTTTACCTGGAGGGCATGCCCAGCACTTTAAGCAGTTGGTCAATCCGTTGGGATGCTCGGTAAACCAACCAGGGTTGCAGGAAACGCAGGATGTACTCGAACCCCTGGTGCAGTGTCTTAAAACTCGGAGTCCTAGATTGAAGAGATCCAAAAGAATCACAGAATCCTAGGGCTAGAAGGGGTTCTGTTCTGATTGGTTGACTGATTGACTGATTGAAATGGTCTAGGGGTCTCCTGCCTTGAGCAGGGGGCTGGACTAGAAGACCTCCAAGGTCCCTTCCAGCTCTATTCTGATTGATTGATTGATTGATTGATTGATTGATTGATTGAAAGGGATCCTGCTTGAGCAGGGGGTTGGACTAGAAGACCTCCAAGGTCCCTTCCAGCTCTATTCTGATTGATTGATTGATTGATTGATTGATTGATTGATTGATTGACTGATTGAAATGGTCTAGGGATCCTGCTTTAGCAGGGGGCTGGACTAGAAGACCTCCAAGGTGCCCTTCCAGCTCTATTCTGATTGATTGATTGATTGATTGATTGATTGACTGATTGAAATGGTCTAGGTCTCCTGCTTGAGCAGGGGGTTGGACTAGAAGACCTCCGAGGTCCCTTCCAGCTCTGTTATTCTATGTCCTGTGTTCAATCTCAGCTCAACCTGTTTCTTCCACCCTTCAGCCCCTCTCCTTGCCATGCAGAACAGAGATTCTTCACCTACCTGCGCCACACTTGGGGCAACACTCCCCCCCAATGGGGTATTCCCACGATTCACAGGAAGAGGCATTCCGAAGGAGCAGCAGGTGAATGACGACGGCCAGGCGAAGCATCTTTCATAGAAAGGGAGGAGGAGAAGAGGAAGAGGAAGAAGAAGAGGAAGAAGAAGAGGAAGAAGAAGAAGAAGAAGAAGAAGAAGAAGAAGAAGAAGAAGAAGAAGAAGAAGAAGAAGAAGAAGAAGAAGAAGAAGAAGAAGAAGAAGAAGAAGAAGAAGAAATGTTTGTATTACAAGGTAACAATTCCACTCTTTTCTTTATTTTTTTTTAATTCTACAATATATAATTGATTCAGAACTAAGGTGTGAAGCAAAGATAAAGAAAGGTCCAGAGAAGAGATATATATATATAAAAAAAAATCCAGTCTCAAAACTCCATTTTGCAGTTCAGTTCCCGAACTGTCTGACTCTTGTTTTCCAAGCAGAGTTTACTCAGGACAAAATAAATAAAAAAAAGATTTATTTCTGGACTTTGCCCTAACATGTAATATCTCGCTTCTGTAAATATTTCCTGCTTCATTTGAGCAGCAGGATAGAAAGAATGGACAGGTAGTCAAGGACCGCATCGGAGCCCAAAGTCTCAGTTGTGACGTGAGATTTGCCTCATTTTACGACCTGTCTTGCCCCAGTTGTTGGGTTAGTAACACGGTCGTTTAAATGAATCCGGCTGTGGACTTTGCTCGTCAGAAGGTCACAAAAAGGGGATCACGTGACCCCGGGACGCTGCGACCGTCATAAATACGAGTCAGTTGCCGAGGGTCTGGATTTTGTTCACGTGCTGCAACGATCGTTAAGTGTGAAAAATAGTGAAACAACCTGCCTCCAGAAGTTGTGAATGCTCCAACACTGGAAGTTGTTAAGAAAGAGACTGGACAACTATTTGTCTGGAATGGTCTAGGCCCAGGTTTCCTGCCTGAGCAGGGGGTTGGACTAGATGACCTCCAAGGTCCCTTCCAACTCTGTCATTCTATTCTATTCTATTCTATTCTATTCTATTCTATTCTATTTTCTATTCTATTCTATTCTACTCAGCCTTCCCTTAAATAAAGGTTGGGGACATCACCCTCATGCGCCGAATTGATGCTTTCAGGATGCAGAATGGAGGAAGGATCACTGGGTGGTCTACTTTCCCTCTCCGCTGCAGTTATGTGCAGAAAAAAGCAAAGAGCTGGAACAACCTAAGGCCCTTCCCTTTGGGAGCTGCTCCTTCAAATTATTCATAATCTTATTTTCAACGGAATCGACTCAGTTTGCGTAAAGATAAACACACAGCAAGAAAAGTTTGATATTCATTCCTCCACTTTTTTAACTCTTACTTCTTATTCTTCTCGTTCTCTGTCTCTGCTAGTGCCTGGATCTAATTTTCCGAGATATTTTTTTTTCTCCCCTTAATGTTTCCTGGGGTTTTAGTAAACACGACAGCTGTTTTCCCGTTCAAAATTCCCAGCTGCGGTTCCCAAGGCAGCTGATATTTTTGGCCTACAACAGGAAATAACCGTTTGAGGTCCTAACTTTCTGTTTTTTTATCGGTTAGTAGTTCAGCTGTCGCAGCCTCAGATCCTTCTTGGGTCTGAACAGTTAGTCCTCGACTTACGGAAACGGAAAAACTCTGTGGCTAAGCGAGACGGCCATTAAGTGCCTCATTTTATGCCTATTTCTTGCCGTAGTCGTTAAGCGAATCGCTGCCCGTTGTTCAGATAACCAGACGGTCGTTAAGCGAATCTGGCTTCCCCATTGACTTTGCCGGTCAGAAGGTCACCAAAGGGGCGCTGCGACCGTCATAAATACGAGTCACTCGCCAAGCCTCCGGATTTCGATCACGCGACCACGGGGACGTAAGTGTGGGAAAAAACGGTCATAAGTCCCCCTTTTTTTCCCCCCTCCAGGGTCGAACGGCCACTAAACGAACGTCGTAATTCGAGGACTGCTCGTAATTCCGAGAAACTTTTTCGGGGAGCCCTTCCTGCATTGGACGGCGGCCGAGAGCCAAGGAAATTGAAAAAAAAAAAAAATAGAAATAAAATTGAATTATTTCTTTCCAGAGCTAAGGTGGAAGGAAACGGCAATCAACCGCAGAAGATGAAATGTCCCTGTTTGGTTTGGCAAAGGTGCAAC